TAATTTGAATCTCATATCCCAAGTGAAAAGCTTCTTATTCAGCAAGTTCAGATGAAGGATCTTGGCCCTCTCAAATATTTCCTTGGGATCAAAGTGGCTCATTCCAAAGATAGCATATACTTGTGTCAACGCAAATATACTCTTGATCTTCTTGCAAATGCTAGTTTCCTAGGTTCTAGAATTGCTACTTTCCTAGGTTCTAGAATTGCTACAACACTAATGGAAAGAAATCTCAAACTTACAACTTTTGATGGCCCTTTACTTATTGACCCTTCTCAGTATCATCATGTTGTTGGCCACTTAATTTATCTTACAACCACAAGGTCAGATATATGCTTTATCGTGAATACACTGAGTCAGTTTATGAAGTCCCCTTGTAAGTGACATTTAGATGTTGCACTTTGATTATTATTATATTTAAAGAAAAAACCAAAGACAAGGCATACTCTTCTCATCTGCAAGCCCTCTTTAGTTAACAGCCTTTCCAACTCGAAATTGGGCTAGTTGCATTTCCACTTGTTGGTCCATAACTTGGTTCTTAATTCTCCTTAGTGACAACCCTATTTCGTGGAAAAGTAAGAAACAAAATGTTGTTTCCCTTTCATCTGTAGGAGTAGAGTATCGTGCAATGACAACTACAACTAAGGAAATTATCTAATTATGCACTGTACTACAAAGTTTTGGTTTTTTTTCTCTCAACCCACTCCACTTTATTATGACAATCAAGTCACTCGACACATTGCTGCCAATCTTGTATTCCATGAGCGAACTAAACATCTTGAAATCAATTGCCATTTGGTCTGAGAAAAGTTGCTCACTAGTGTGATTCATATACTACCCATTTCCTTTTCTCATCAATTGACAGATGTCTTTACAAAGGCCTTGGTGGGTGTTGATAACTTTCTTTCTTCACAAGTGACGAGGGAGTATAAGGAATTTAATATCAAATCCTGGATATATTGTACACAATCTATGATTACCTTTTCTTTAGGCTTAAGTTTAGGCTTGATTTAATTTCTCTTTTTCACCTATACATATGTCTCCATCCAAATAAAGTAAATAATAGAGAGAACTTTTCATATTCATCAGTTTACAAAATACTTTATTTCTCATTGATATAGGATCTTTACACACTCAACTTAACTTCACTCACATATTCATATACTTCAACATCTATTGCACATGTTTAGCCTAGTTATATCTTTCATAGAAGTGTTGTTTGAACTTAAAAAATAAAAAAAAATAAAAACAAAAAAACAAAAAAATCATTTGGTTTCTTAGTTGGACTTTGACCCTCTTTCCTTGGAGTGATAAATTAAAAGCGTAGAAGCATGCGTTTTAGAAGTTAATAATGATGACTGAGTTTTTGGAGGAGAGGGGCTAGAGACAAAGAGATTGGCATGTTAGTTAGTCTCATTCTTTGAAATTCATTATCCCCAAACACCATGCTTAATTGGACGCACTGTTACTATATATACAGGTTAGGCTAAGACCACTCTATAAAATATCAAACCCCATATAATACATGCACTTCATTTCTACAATTTATTTTAACTTTGATCAATTTTATAGAGTGTAAATTGCAAAAGATCAATTTTCATATTAAGCTTTGATCAATGAAGTTGAGATTTGAGAAAATATTGAGGCCAAATCCTCATTTTAGGTTTTCTTTTTATTCATATAAAGGAATCTCTTTCTAGGGACCTAGCTTTACTTTCTTTTACTGATCATAAAACTCTTGTGGAAACAAATCATAAGAAACTAGGATATTTAAATTCTCTACAAACATTGCACTAGATGATGCTAAAAGAGCGGCCCATGTGTGAAGGATGAAACCCTTTTGTTTGGGCAATGGGGAGAAACTAAAAGGTTGAAAAGAGGATAAAAAAATAAAAACAAAAACAAAAAATCATGAAAAGATAAGGAATTTTCACGCCTATGCCCTTAGAGCATAGGTTAAGAATATTTTTTTTATAATAAATTTGTATAAAAAAATATAAAAATTGATATTAATTTTAGTGTTAAATGAATTTAATTAGACAGTTAATAAATTAAAATTAATTTTTATTTTTTCAATATAAATTTATAATGAAAAGATATATTTAATACACTCTTAACTCATGCCCAAACAAATCCAAAAGATAAACTCAAAAGTTTTCATAAACAAACTTTAATGCAAACGAAGAATGTTATTTGCATTGGTAATGGCTTGGAGATCTATTAAAAACCTATTGCTTTAATTTGTTGGAGAGTGTGGAGCAAATTTTAAGAGGATTTACGTAGAATTTCAAGATATCCACAAAATTTGACTTTGAATGAATTACTAAGCTAAATATAATTTCAATTTATAAGTTTGTCTAATTTGTATTATAAGAATACAGATTAAGGTGTAATAAATGCATCCTTTTTAATTAATTTACATTAAAAAACAAAAATTTATCTTTATTTTGAAATCATTGCCACATTAATATTTTTAATTCACTAATTGATTAAAGCAAAATCAACATTTATAATTTCTAGATAAATTATTACAAAAAAGTGTAATAAATACACCTAAGGGCACATGTTAGAAAATTATTAATTTATTTCAAGATTTAATAAAGAATTTTTTACTTCATGTCCCTAGAGTACATGTTAAAGATGTGTTTATCGCATCTTTTTACCATTAATCTTTATTAATGATATATGAAAAAATAAAAGTAAATTTTCGTTTTATTAACTGTCTAATTAAAGTATTTTGCATGGTATTAGTGTTGAAAATATAGTTAACTTTTATAATTTTTCACAAAAATTAATGGTAAAAAAGTGTAATAAATGTATTCTTAACCTATGGCTAAAAACACCCTTTTAAATACCTCCTAATTAGGGTTCGCTTAGGCTCTTTCTCTAAGGTTTCTCTTCTCTTGTCAAAAGCTTCCTCTTTTCTTTTCCCTCTCTTTCCCAAATGTCACAAGTTGCCTCCTCCTCCACGTTGGTCGCACCGACCCATCTCCTCCTTCATGCTAGTTGTGTAGGCCCTAAAACTGCATAGCCCCTAAGTTGTGCATCCCACACCCTAACGTCATCCTTGCCTATCCCATTGCTCAAGCCCCAAAGCCACCGATAACACCCTTTTGTTTGGATCCACCTCAAGCATTGTAATATCTCCATCTTACAAGCGATGTTCAAATGAGAGTGTGTCTAGATCAAAGAGACTTCTGCAAAAGACACAACAAAGGTTTGGAAGGGGTTTGATCCTATCACTGATAAAAGAAACGAGAGGAAGTAGAAGAGAAAGTTGGAACCTAATGCAACTAAATATGAGAGGGCACTTAAGGTGAGGCTTGATGGTTCAAGTAATAGAATGGCTATGTAGGTGGATGTTTTTCATCCATCAATAGATTAGAAGATTATCCAAGCTTGGACATGGCGAGCATTGTAGTGCTAAGAGACACTACATTGCCATGTCCTTTGATCTTCTATGCGAGAATTGAATAGTAAACTAGATGTAATTACAAGAGTAATTAAATAGCTCCAAAATAATTTTTCTATATTTCTACATAACTCTATTGGTACCCCTATGATGTTATTAATATTTAGAGGTTCTCAACACTTAATTGTTCTATTTGTTACAAACACTTAATTTTTTATGTTAGTGTTATAAGTCCTTCCTAGTTGTTTTAATTTTCCTGATAACCATTATGGCAGGAAATAATCTGTGTTAATTAATTCTATTACAAATACAACTATTTTTTTTTTATCAAATATGTATATATAATAAAGGGAGAATGAAATCTAAACTTGCACATGTGTTCTCGATTGCTTTTGTCCCCATTTCATGGCCCCTAAATTAGGGAAAAGTAATTCTTGAAAGTATATTTGTGGGTTATCCATTGAAAAAAGAAGGAAGAAAGAGAAAAAGGGCTGAGAAACGACTTTTTCTTTCAATTGGTGAGGAATTCCCATTTCCAACTAATCAATTCTAATCTCCATCAAGGCCTTGTGAACATTCCTTTCTCCTTTATAAGGCATTTTTCTAAGCATGAAATCGACAAACTCGCATTTAATTTTTACCTAGGAGAAAAGTAATGAAGGTGTAAAGGGTGCAGCTATTTCCACCGCAAGATTTGGTACGTAAAGCCCACAACATGAAGGTTTGTAAATTAAATATCCTAGATTTGAATCTTAAATGAGTAGAAGAAGTTTTAGATAGATTTATCTGTTATTCTATGGACCAAATATTATTGAAGAATAAACCCTCATTTGAACAATATATATGTAAGTATGGACACATGTATTAGAATTTAGCGCCTAGGAAGATACCCATATATATAGGAAAATTAAAACTTAAATCTTGGCTTCATTAAGGAGAACAAACTAAATTTGTTCAATCCTATATAATGAGCTAAAAATTTGATACTAACAACTAGATATAAGTACATGCAGGTAAAGATTCTTACACAATTCAAGGAATAAACTGAACTCACCACGGCACGCGGTCACAGGATTTCAAGCAATGGGAGGATGCGGCAACCAGCCATCATGCCACACATGACAGGAAGCGGAGAAAGGAGCATAAAGCATTCGTAAAATTTATAAACATTTTGAGCCGAGAAGGTCGATCCATCCATTGCAGTTGAATTTCCATTTAACTAGAGGCTACATTTCTCAATCTAAAGTAGGGATATGGGATAAATAAGAGTTTTGTCGATTTGGTACCATTAATTTAAATTTTTTAATTTAAAAGTAAGATTAAAAATTTAAATTTTTGTATTGTCAAGTGTTACTTGTTGATGTACCACAAAAAAAAAAAAAAAGGCAGAGATCTTGGAGAACCTTCCCTTCGGAGCAAAAATTGCTGCACTCTTCAGCTAGGCAGTTGTTCCTGTTGGGTTGTACTTTTGATATTATAGTGCCACCAC